GCATGGAAATTCCTGAGCCTAAGCCTCCAAAGAGGCATTAGGTTTATGGGCTGTCCGCTATTTTACAACAAAGTACACTGTGATGCTTTTGTTTATTCATTTTTTCTTTCTCTAAATTCAGGTATTGAAGAAAAGACAAACTAAAGAAACTGTTCTCAGGCGTGCCAAGCGGAGATGGGCACCTATTCCTTGCTCAATGCAAGAGAATTCCTTGGGCCCCTTCCCTTTGTTTCTTCAGCAAGTAGGTTTACGTTCCTTCTGGTTGAGAATGCTTTAATTCTAAGAGTCTGTTTTGTTCCAATTTAATAACTCTTTAAACATTTAAAAATAAACTGATCTGATTGAAGATGTTCATGAGGTATAATAAAAGTGAGTAAAATGAGAAAGAAAAATTACTAAAAAACTAATAATATGAGAAAGACTCTAAAGCCATTGAGTGATCCTTGTTTATTCCTTCAGCGGATAGTTATTGAGCATCTACTATATCCTATGGAAGGCACTGCTCTGGGTCCTAAAGCTAGAAATAAATTTAGTCATGGCCCTTGCTGTCATGTGGTTTATTGGCTGAGTGAAGGAGAGAGAAGTAGGCTAACGATTAGAACACTCAGTCATGAGTGCCATGACTCTATGACAGAGATGCAGATCTGATAACACACAAGATGAACACCAAGCCCTGAGATAAGGCGGTAAAAAGCAAGAAAAGCCTTAGAGGAGGAGACATCTGAGTTGAGTCCTGAAGGATGGGAAAGTTTTGTGCAGGTAAATAATTGTGGAAGAGAGGGAAGTACAGAGGTGAGAGCAAGCATGGCTCCCTAGAGGAGCTCTGGGTAGCTTAGTCTTCCTAAATATGATATGGGAGGAGCAGGGAGATGGGGCAGAAGAGGCAGGTAGGGGTCAAACCATTATGGGCTGTGCATGTTCTGCTCAGAAGTTTAACTTTCTCCTAAAAACAAGGAGAAATTTTTAAGCCGGTTAATGACATTATCAGGTTTACTTTTCAAATACTGAAGTAGGGCTTGTGCTTGCCTTTTTTTCCCCGTTAAATTTCTGTTACTGTGATTGCTGTTTATCACTGATGGTGTGACCTGTGTGCTACTTAAGTTTTTAACTGTCCTTCCAGAAGAGTCTTTAACACTTATTTTTTATTCTTTCCAGTGCTAGACACTTGTTTCTTCTTCATGAATAGTATACTCAAACACTGACGAGGCATATTAAGAAATGATTTTTAATTGCCAAAGTTGTACTAATCATAGCTGATTTTAGCCTTTGCATTGCTAAACTAGTCACCGCCTTTTAATCCTTATTTCCTTGACATACTTACATTGGACCTAGCTGACCTTTCCCTCCTCTTGGAAATATTTTCTTCACTTGGTTTCTAGAACATCATTCACCTAGTTTTCCACTTACTTCATTGACCACTCACTTCTTAGTATGTTTTACTGGTTCTTCCTCATCCACCACCCTTCCCCCCCATCCCAGTCTCTAAACTTTGGAGAACTCCAGGGCTTGGGTAATTAATCTTGTCTTTTGTTTATTGACATCCATGCTCTTGGTGATCTCATCCAATCTCATGGCTGTAAGCACTTAAGACTGCATACTTAAAACTTCATATTTCCAGCTCAGACTGCATAATGAATATTTCTACTTGGAAGTTCAATAGAATTTCAAACTTAACACATACAAATAAAATGCTTGATTTTTCTCCTAAAAACATCCTCTCATCTCAGTTATTGACAGTTTATTCCATCTAACTATTTGAGCATGGGAGTCTGTCTCATAAGGTTTTAGTTGTAGAAAGCATACTTCTCTCCAAGTAGTCACAGATAGGGATTTAGTGCAGTGTATTAAAGAGTTTACAGAATTGTTGGGAGGGCTGAAGAAACAAACTTTAGTTGAACTTTCAGAAACAAGTCCTCAAGCTAGCTAC